TCGACCTGCCCATCCCACTGACCCTCCTCCTCCTCCCCTTCCGTGAGGCTGGAGCTCACCTCGAAGCTTCTGACGCGAAGTTGTGGATGAAGGAGGAGATGGAGTTGAAGTCGATGGTGCCCGTGTACATCTCCCTCCTCCCTGCGGCGGCTAAGGCGCAGCAAGCACGTCGCACGCCGCATGCCTCACCGGCAGACAGCAGGATTATTCGCGGCAGATTCGCTTCCACCAGCCCGAAACGTGCCAGCAGCTCGATTTCAGTGTGGCGCACAGAAGCAAAAGACGTTGTCTGCCGCCTGAGTCATCCTCTCTCCGTACCCTCTCCCTCCCTCGCCTGACTGTGAGCTCCCGCTAGCTCGCGCCATAGCGAAGGAACGTTGGCTTTCTTGGTGAATAAGACAGCTTTCACTGCCATGGCCTTGTCCATGAAGTACCTTTGCCACGCGTCACCCCACCCTCACTCCTCCTCCTCCTCCTCCTCGTTTTCATCCTCCTCCTTCTCCTTGCCTGTCTGCATTGAACGTGTCGAGCTCCGCAACGAAGGGTACAGGTGAGAGATCTCTGTCAGGTGGGGGTATCGCTTCGTTGCTGGAAGCGTCCTCCCCTTCCTGGACGAGCAGAGACTTGTTCGGGCTGTACACAAGTCAGAGCGGAGCTCGAGCACCAGCATGCTCCTGACCTCAACCTGCTCGCCGCGATGTGCACGACCGCCTCGTCATCCTCAGGCATTCCGAGCTCGAAGGGTCGATGAGGGATGCTCGGGGAACCCCCTGAAGCTAAGTTTGCCGTCAGCATCTTCCTCCTCAGTATCATCACTATCTCTACTATCCCGAGAACCTTGAGTTCTCCCTTCCACCTTGCCATCGCTCTCGCCTCCTGTAATCCAATCTGCTTCCTGCAATCCTCTTATCTCTCCTCTCAGTGTCGGCAAATCCATTCCGACGCTACTTCCTGAACTGAGAGTCTGCTCTCTGCTCTCTGCTCCTGTGCTCTGCTCCTGCTCCTGCTCCTGCTCCTGCTCCTGCTCCTGCTCCTGCTCCTGCTCCTGCTCCTGCTCCTGCTCCTGCTCCTGCTCCTGCTCCTGCTCCTGCTCCGCTTACCTCGTCCTTTCTCTGCCATCCCGATTGAGCGACTCTGTTGTTGGGCCTCATCCCCGCTTTACTAGCAGCATCTCAGTGATCTGTTCCCTGTGAGCCCCGGGCCCGACTGCAGGCCCGACTGCCGGTAAGAAGCGGTATGAGCGGGGAGGTGGACACCCTGGATTTGTCTCTTCGGCATGCCTGCTGCGTTCGGGGAGGGAAGGGAGGGAGTGGGAGGGGGAGGGGAGGGGAGGGGAGGGGAGGGGGAGGGGAGGGGGAGGGGAGGGGGAGGAGGAGGGAGGGGAGGGGGAGGGGAGGGGGAGGAGGAGGGAGGGAGGCG